CGATTGACAGGTGTTTTACGCGCCAAGTGCGCACAACCGCATTGTAACAGTCTTAAGGCTGGTAAAGTATCTATCAATACAACGTCAGTGCGACGCGTACCGTTTAATATGAGCGGCGTCTGATGGGCAAAGTACTTGCGATGCGTTCATTGTCGATGTTAGAAGTGAAATAGTGTCCCAGCCATGTAACCTCTGAGCGATTGTCGACCATTATTCCAGGCATAAAAGAGAAATGGGTTGCAGGTATTGAGTATAGCGTGGGGTCGATTATGGGAAACAAACACTTTACTCTTCGGTTTTGAGCAAACTTAAAAGTATTTTTACTGTAACGCTTGATCTAACGTAAATTTCCAATAAAGAGTCAATAAATTGTACCTTTCTAAAGTGGAGTACAAAACACCCAAGGGTCTATTTACTGTTCAATTTATGCCGTACAACGAGATTTCTAATGTTTAAGAAATGATTATTTTTTTTTTTATATGGCTCTCAATAATATTACGTATGCTGTTAAACCTAACGCGAGCTGTCCGGAACAACCTTTTGTTTGGTTTACGACCTACCTAGTCGGAACCAAACCATTATCTAGTCTACGTGTTTTTATATACACAAAGGCTATATCCATTTGCAGGTAACAGACGTTTCAATTGGAACGGGTTGATTGAGTAGGTATTGGTTAGAGTGGACAAACGCATTGTACAGCTTAGCTGCAACTGGTTAGCAGCAAGCAAATATTACAGCGAGAAACGATAAAAAAATGTATAAATTGGTCATCATTATGGTTTTCCCAGGCGTACGCTGCAAAAACGGTTCAATATACCCAAAAAATATGTACAAAATAATGTTTTCTTTAAAAGGTCTGGGATGCTATATGTCTATGTTTTAAGATTAACTTACAAAAAGTACAGGAAGGGATGCGACTGATGTCGTGGGTAATAGCTTAGATTAATAGATCGAAGGGGTTTGAAAAAACGAATTGGATGGCCAAAATAACGATTCTCGCGAAAGAAGTACTTGACTTAGTTAAAAAATAAAAGTCATAGTAACGTCATATTATTTATTCCCGTCTGTTTCAGCCGCCCGGTACAGTGTGGGCGGCGTGATTCGTTACGTACACGTGTTACTCTACTTTTACCAAATTTTTCGAAATACTGATATTATCTTAGAGCCGTGGGCCCCGCAACGCAAACACACCGCTGGGGTCAACTTGAGAGGTGAACTTGTCTATATAAACATCTATTCAATACAATCATTATACATAAACGATAAAATTAAACACTATTTACATTCTTTACATAATTTCGTTTATTGCTCCGTAATTTGTATAGCCTCAGTGATCGTACGTTAGAAGTATTAGAAACTGATAGATTTTGGCACCTATTGCTTGCAGTGTAGGAAAATTATGTTGCCGGCACATGTTAACTGTTAAACACCTACATTCACGATTATGAGATTGCAGAAAATAAATACCTTAAATGTAATTAAACATTTACAAATTATACAAATAGGCATTATTAATTTTATCTACACTATCATATTCTTTAATAGGATCGAATACCACACCGGAATTTCACCATCTACTTTAGATAGAATTTACGACACTCAACAACAATTTAAAATTAATTCTTCAAAGAAATCTTAACGATGCGTAAATCATTTTTCACATAAGTCGTTCGAATTCGAAATCGTAGCTCCAATTAGCTACGCAAAATGCTACGGCATAGCTGTCGTCTCGAAATAATAATTATGACGTCACATTACAATACCTAATATTTTTTTAATTGTGTCCTATTGTCTTCGTTCAATCAATCATTCGTGATTATAGTGTAATAATTCTAAAGCATATTTCTAATACACATCTCAATATAAAATGTACAACATATAAAACATTATCTACAACATAAGCCTCTGTAAGTATCAACTCGAGATATGAATACGATAACGATAAAAAAATGATTGTTAAGGCTACGTCAGACAGAAAACGATTCGTGGCGTGAACGAATAGAATCGGTCGGAACACGGTCGATAGCTGGGCGTTTCGCCGTCTTTCTCGAGTCGACACGGCTGCGAATCTCACGATCGTGTGAACATTTAAACATATCTACAACGTCAAGCATCCTCTCAGCTGAACCGCGCGTGAAGCCAACTGAAGCTGTGCCGTAGTCACTACACACTACTGTCGTACACGGCCTCAAACCGTCGAGCGACACTTCAAGTCCCTATATACACTATGTTACTCTATCGTTGCGTTAACGCGTACAGTCGTATGAGTAACATGTAATGAAAAAAGCAGTTTGATATGGCCCTAATACATAAATTGTTGTTTTTTTTTAACACGATCAGTGGCGTGATAAGATTATTCAAATTATTAATTAAATAGACACAACAGACAGATAAAATCAGGCATACAATGTACTAACTACATAGAGTATATACGTATAAAGTTAAGTATTTGACAGGAATTTTGAAAGAACGCTTTTTTAGTTAAACTTTAGTCATTGTTTTATTCTTAATAATAATTCAGTCACTTCTAATTATAAAAGTGATGCAAATAGATGCTAGACATAATTATAGATATTACATTACAATCCACTAAGTTCAAATAAGTAACGATACAATTTTTTCAAAACATGTTACAGGCTAGTTCTGTACGCGGCTTTATACAGAGAGGATGTTATCTGTACGCATTACTAGTTATTTTTACAGTACTTTTGCGATTATAAATTGTTTTAGCAATGACAAAATGACGACAGTTTTTCAAGCGTTTCCGATGTCATTGCGCACACTAAACTCGGTTATTGATGATTAGAAAAAATCCTTTATTTTTATCTTTTAATTATTTTAAGATGGTGTTAATTACATTTAAATTAACGACACATTTTCATTCGCAAGTGAATTTTAATTTTATTATTAATTGATACAGATTAAACTGGGTTTTCATATAAATTTTAGCAGAGACATTCGGAGAAACAAACTGAAATAAACCCGTTAGAACTTGCAAACGTATCACTCTCTATCTCTTCTAGATCCTAAAATAATCGAAAGTATAAAATGAAAACTAAGTTATCGTATATTAAAATGACAATTTTACCTAAGTTAAAAGTTATGTCTCATACGGCGTTAAGAAGCACAGTTCAGTTCTTGTCAATGAACAAATAAAGATTGACATAATCTTTCTACAATCAGTTATGATTGTCGGATTCTATTTTTAAACTAAAATATTGTTCATAGTAGCTTACATTTGTAATGTTCGTTTGATTTCGTACTTCATTTTGTCCCTCTATTAGATAGATGTGTTTTTCAAACCGTGAGGGATTATACAATGACGAAGTAAACAGGTTCCAAAGTCGATATTTTTTCTTCGTTATGCGTTAATCCGACAGTGCTAACTTATCAACATTAAGCGGCGTTACCACGTGAAGTAAATTACGTGTTAGGTAACAATATTACTTTATCTACTTAATATTAATAACAAGTATGTATACTGAACAGTTAAAAGCTATCAATTTCCGTATATTAAGCTAAATGCATAAGATTTATTGTATATTTTTAATAACATATGGCAATACAACAATTTACTTCATGTGGCTTGTTGACGAAGGCTTTCATTATCTGAATTCATAAAGATTCCAAAATCATATTGTCTTCGTTTTTCAAAGGTTTAAGGCTCTCTCCAACGTGTAAAACTAAAGCGAGGGTAAGTAGTCGTTCCCCACGTTCGAGAGAGCCCTAATAAATGACGTCATAAAGTTTGAATCCGTGCATGAATTCCGCCTTTAAAGAATAGGACAAGTATCAAGTATTTGTAGTACACAACGCGGTACATCCGGAAAGCCCAAAAAATATTTTATATCTAACCGAATAGCAAATATAGGAATTCATGAACAGACTTAGATTCATATAAAAGGCGAGGTTTGAACGCAACATCTATTTTATCACAAATGAGAAAAAGGGTAAATGGTAAAGTATCAAAAACCTTGTGTCCCATTTCAGTCGTATCCTTTGTGCAACTCTATATTATAAAGTACAGTAACAAAACTTCGTCTTGAAGTGTTGCTCAAAAGCATAGGGTTACCAGAGAGCCTCCGATAGACATATAAATAAGTGTAATATTGTTATATAATGCGTACTAATTAAAATGGACCAATCATGGCAGTGAGGTCGTAATCAGTGCGGTCATTGGTCGATTTCCACTCTTATATGCCCAGCAGATGCCATAAGAACGGAGATACTATTTGCGAATTATGAATTACCATATCATTTTAACAGTTAGATAGTAAAATATTAACGATATCTGAGATTAATCGTAAACGGTAAAAAAATCTAGTTCAAAACTTGTGTATTCGCAAAAAACGCTTAACGACGGGGTCAAACTAACAAACATTTTAAATTCGCAAATACGATCCCAAGTCTCGAGATTGCGACCGATACGAAGATAAAGAATCCATTCCTTCATAGAATTAGCGACCCGTATAAATGCTTCACTAACGCTATTTTACTTTAATATAGTTTATGTATTAATAATTTAATAATGAACAAGGAATATTTGAAAAGTGTCTCCGCAGACGTTCGTAACGCAATCGCTCGTTCTACGACGGATTTCCATCGGGCGGTGTCTACGAGCTACTGATATGCTCTGTCTCAAGACGATTCCGACTCGATCTATGTAACATCCCTACTCGTCCTACTGGCCACTGATATGTGGGATATGCGTGTAGCGCTTCGGCCGTCCGCCGAGGCGCCGCCCTCTCAGTACAAAACTGGAGCGTACCTACATTACATACGTATTCAATTATATACAATAATATACGATAGACACTACAGCGGCTACGGGGCGGGCGGCGGCGGTCGGTTGCCCCGCGCGAACATTCTCACCGTATTATACATAATTCGCTATATATAACAAATACACGAACGCACGTTCGAACAACACAATATACAGCAGAGCAGCACTCTTCGATTCGTTAAAAAAATTGACTAGGAAATTCAATTCACTATGAGCACTATGTGTGCGTGGATGCGGAGAATATGTCGGCGGCGCGCCAGGCCTCGGCCTCCTCTTCCGCGTCGTACTGCTGTAGGAAGGGATTGGTGGAGCTGTAGCGCGGGCTGACGCTACCGGTGGAGTTCAAGGTCACGGCGAGACCGGCGGAGGTGCCGGGGATCGCGGAGCGGGGGGACTCACGAGAACCGGGCTCCCGAGGGGTGGTCTCCCTCGGTGTCAACTCCCGCGGTGTTCCACGTGGCGAGTCTCTCGGTGAGGCTCGCGGGGACTGACGCGGTGAGTTCCTGGGCGAGCCCCGTTCCGGCTGTCTCAGAATGGAGGAGACGGAGCCCCCGTGCTTGATAGTATCGGCCGGACTGTGGCTACCGGAACTGCTACTGGGTGAACCTGGAGAGGAGACCGTCACTTGGCGGGAGCGAGGTGGAGCGGGCAGAGGGCCTCGCAGCGGCGACTGCGGACGATATTGGCCGGCCCTGGCTGATGAGAGAACCTGCAAATGACGGCACTTCCTGACCATGACTTTGCTAGTACATAGTTACATCTTCTCCAGCGGGATTTTCCGGAAGATATATTCACTCTATGTTGTAAAAAAAATATGTTTTTTAATAATGCCATTAATTTCAAAACTTTAATACTGTTGTTAATGCAAATGATGGCACTTTATAAATTAAAAATCGATTATAAATTGGTAAATTTACGATACGGGCATTCGCAGGTGTTAAGATTGAAATTACATTGAGCGAGAAGTCCATGTAGCAAAAATCAAAAGTAGACGAGTAGGACGCGGAAGCTCAATAGATTAGAGCAACAGCGCGGAACACCATATGTTCCGGTTCAAGTCTAACCCGGATCGTATTTTTTTTATTTATAATCGATTTTTAATTTAATGCCATTCATTACTTTAATCGTTCAAAGTTTGTTTCTCTGCATCGGATGTTTTCGAAAACCAACATTTCTGGGACATCAGTCGTATTTCATACAAATTAGGTGTGTTATTTGCCATCTTTCGTCAATACATTATGGCAAGTTATATTTACGATATACATAAATACCTTTCCCAACGCTACATAAATATTTCAGTGAATTCAAAACAAGTCTTTTACCAAAGGAAAAGTTTGCGCTGTTTACATTAGCAGTAGACCTAGCACTCCAGGCAAGGGGGTAACTAAAAGCTAGCTGTTGGGGATCATTAAAAAAAACAGGCCATCTTCCTCATACTGTGGGATAAACAATTTTATAAAGGCGCTGATGACACACAGAAGATCAAATAAAAAATTTAAGGAAAATTGTTTAAAATTACTTTTTAATAATATATAAATTAATGTATTGGGCATTTGTATAGTCCCTTGTCTAAAAAACTTCTTCCTATACAGCACCAAAGGAATAATAATTATTTTTTCTATCAAGTAACTAAACGTAAATATTAAAAAGTTGGGTACTGACTGTAGTTTACGCGAGCAGTACACATTTGAAAATAACTTTGAACGGTTCAAAACGTGTAATGTATTGGTTAAGCTAAGTATCAGCTAGCTTCGTGTAACAACTACGACAGACCAGATGGCGCTAGCCTAGAAGTTTTAGTTAGACTGCAAAGCATCCGAAACGTCGATGCGTAGTTAAAATACATTGTTCAAAAAGTTAACTAATACATTTCGCGTTTTAAACCGTCGAAAGTGTTTTATTTAAAAATAGAACATTATTTAGGAAATATATTTTTGGTCATCTAAAGTTTATTTAACCGTTTTTTATCAAAATATAGCTTAGAATAAATATGAAGTAGTCAAAAATTTTTAAGCATAAGAATGATTAAAATCATGAAAGAACAGAGCCTCTATAAAACAGTTTACCCCCACTCCTCCCTCGATATGATAACTACGTCTGTGTTGTAGTGTGTTGCAGCTATAACTACTTCTACATGCTTATGATTTGAAATTCTGCACACTTACTTAAGCCTGTAGACAAGAGATTATTTTGGTTTTGAAAGTAGGCCTGCGCAAAGTGACGTGATACCCCTGAGGTCCAGCTAGACTATTAGAGATAGAGAGTGACTGTTTCAATTCATTCGTTCGTTCGTTCATAAATAATAGATGTGAATGTGTGAAACTTTTTTTACGTGTGTCCATCATTCTTCAAATACTGTAGAGTGTATTAATTTTTCAACTGGCAAAAGACTTCAACCACATCAAATATGAAAGTGGTCAATTCAAACCATAGAGAACTAGTGATGCCCTTTTATAGTGTTGTCGTTCCCATGGATGACACAGGATTTATGAAATATCCATTCTATTTGGACCAAAGGACCTCAATATTCAAAATTACTTTTAGAACGAAAAATTGTTTAAATCATTGATATTTTCATATCATTATTATTTAACTCGACGTTTGTAATGCTTTTCAGTAGTCGTGCTTGGTTGGGACTTCTACCTTCTATTATCGTTGACTTTGCTTACATCCCAAGTTTGTAAATGTCTATGACATTGATCTGTGTATAATAAGTATGTTTGTACTTTTATCTTTTAGCATGAAAATGTGGTTTTTACTAAGTGATATCTTATATTAGAGGTAGCTCATTAGTATTATATAAACCAGTGTCTCATTTTTTTTTGTGTGAAACAATGTAAACCGTGCCAGAAAAGTCATGATTACATCAAAATTATGTGTTTACCAAAAATGCCAAGTAAGAAAAAAATACACTATGTTGTCGTTAGTGTTCACAAAAAGTGTTAATAATAGTCATTTCCGTTTTGTTGGAGCGTTAGCAACGATTTTTTGTCAGGTTTTTTTGTGACAACTAAATAATCCGCTTTAAGGTAGTCGTAAAAAGTTTCATGTCACGTGTATGTGTATTTGGAATGGAAAATTTAACGTCGTATAATAATGAATGTGTTTTTATGATCTTCGACATTTTCCATGACGTCAGATTAAACCTCAAGAAGGTAATGTAAACTGTATTGTAAAATAAAACAATGTTCGAAAACATAAGGCGAATGTATATTATATGTAATGCGATGCTCATGTATATTATGTATGTATTGAGGAAAAATCTGTACGCACATGTGCGGGCGGCGAGCGGTCGACCCCGGGCCGAGCCGAGAGAGCTGGCTGCGGAGATGCTGCTGATGCTCCCACTTGATGCCGATATGGACTGACTGAGGGCGGAGCTCGGCCTGGAAGGTACAATATTATCAAGCCAAGTGTAATCAAAAACCATGAATTCACGTAGGTAACTAGGCACACTTATGTACGTCACATCAGTTAAAGACTAAGTTTACATTTATTGCCAGTTCTCAAAACAAGAGCGTAGAACGAACGAGAAAAATTAGCAAAAAAAACCGCTGCCCCTCTTTCTATCGCCATGACTCACTTTACAATATTCATGTATTTCAAATGCACTACGTATTTATTTCTTGTTAGAGCCGGTCTCTTTAAAAGGATCAAACATATTTCTGTGTCCGTTTCGCTGATCGGCTCTTTAATTGGCAAGTAGTTGATCAGACTTCTGTACCCAGCGCGATCGATCTATTGCTTTCCGAGATTTGAACACAGGACCTCTCGCCCTTAACGAAATGCTAGGCACCGCGTATTTATCATATTCGGTTATTTAAAAAGACATATTATTAAATTTAAAAATCAAGATTCGGATATTGAATAAAAAAGTAAAAACTTTAGGTAAGATACTCAATAGATAAAATTTTTTTTATGGTAATTTTGGATAATTCAAAGAACCTGGCTTAATTCCTTATGAAGGCATACAGCGTACTAAGATACAAGCAACTCAGCTTGTCGATGCTCAAAAAGGAGCTCATACATAGTTTGATCAAAGTTTTTACATGGTAATTTTGGTGAAACTGCTTGGCTTGGAAAATATTTTTTAAGAGGAGCTATCCTATGTCAATATGACAGTGAAGGTACTACCCTTTCACTGAATTACCTGGGGGGAGGGTGGCTGAGGCCACTTGCGACGCACTGACTCTGTTTCCACGCGGCCCGAGTGCTGGCTCGCCGCGCCGAACTGTCTACAAAGATACATGCGTTAAGGTGTGGCTTAAAACGTCAATTTTAACGCATGGCAAATGCACCGGCGGATGTGATGTTATATATATACTTATATAATACCTTTCGGATGTCAAATTTTTAGGAACCTTATATAAATTAACTTTGTCCGCGAAGAATAGTTATTTTGGGCATCCCAATTTGTTTTTGCCTCCTCCTGTTTACTTAAAAATTTAAACTGTTGTTAAAATGTACCCACGACGTCGGTCGAGTGCCGTCCTTCTCGCAAGGTAATTTTAAAAGATAAACATAGATAATTGGAAGAGGAATCATTCTTTCATACATATTTTTTTTGTATCTTGAACCGTTTTCGAAGTGTACGCATCGGAAACCCGCAACGGTGAATAATGTTCCCCATTTATATCATATTTGGCGCTGTTGCTTTGCTCCTATTTGTTACAGCGCAATATTTTATAGCCTTGCTAATAAATGCTTTAACCAACACAATTTTTTTTTTTCAATTCGAACCAGTAGCTCCTGAGATTAGCGAGTTCAAACGAACAAGTTTATAGATATATAGATATTTACAACAGCTTTAAATATTGATTTAGATAAGTAGGATACCCAAAATTCAGCCTATAACGGACGATGACATTACCTGAACGTTTAGGCGCTGGCCAGATCTGTAGCAGACATTGTAATACATGTATCGGCCGCTGATAGTCCATCTCTGATGGTGGTTGCGACTGCAGCATCAGCGGTGGAGCTAAGGCCACGGCTAAGTGTTGTGGGGACATTTTGTTCCTGTCTTGAGCAGCGACGACCAGGGCCAAATGGTCTAGTAGGAATACAAGTGTAGCTCGTGCTGCTCGAGGAAGACATTCGACTATGGATGCCATGAGACGAGCATTGCCTTCTTTGTCGTCTGGCAGGCAAACGCCTGCAACACCAGAATGTTCGTTAAAACTTAGTTATATAAATTTACCGTGTATAATAAAAATAAATACTAACACAAACTTTAATTAGCCAATTGCAAGTTTTTGCGTTAACACAAGTTTTTCAATAAAAACTCTGTGTTAGTGTATTAGTGCTTGTTTTGTCTTAATTATGTATATAATTAGACCAACAATATTTTAATTATCTTCGAGAATATTTAAATTAATATAATCTTGATCTTTAGTCAAGAATTGTTTGTTCAAATCTGAAATGGACGTGTTACCTATATTTAGATCTCGTAAGGTTTAAAGTTACCTAAAGCATCCAGTGTCATCTGGAACAGACAGCGACTGAAAAGCGGTTGAGGCAGCTCCCTCAAGTAGTCCTTTAGGACTCCCGTGATCACATTGATGTCGGGAACCGAGTCGGGGGTCAATTCGACCCCGCGCGCGTTCCGCTCGAAAGCTTCACGCAAGATTCGTTTTTTAGCTGCCGATCCGCAAAGCCGATAGAGACCTTAAAAACACATACACCATGTTCAATAAAAAACTGCCAAAAATAAAGAATACAGTAGTATTAAGGTTGAAATTACATTTCGCGAGAAGTGCATGTATCGATAGATTGAAAGAAATCGACAATGCCATGTAGTATACGGTAGCTTAATAGGTTAGAGAACCAGCGGTAAGGCTGTGGGATGTGGATGCCTATTCAAATTCTGCCCGTGTCGTAAATTTTTTTCAATTTCTCATCGATTTTTTATTTGAAAACATAGAATCAAGTAGACAGAAAATATACGAATACTTTATTAGATACGTGAAAAACTATAGTGTAATTTGTATATTTTTTGTCTTTTTATTTAAATTACAAAAGAATTATAATCCTGCAATGCAATTTTACTAGTGACACTGCTATTTAGAGAAATATTACTAAACTAAAACTAAATAAATTACTTTATACTAAATATATTACGTTACTTATTTATTCTTTAACTCCAGATAATATGTCAGTACCTATTATGTCTAGACCACGCCTCTCAATCTCTTCAACACAACGTCTTACAATCATCGGTACGGGTGGAGCGTGAGATGGCCTCACTTCTCTAGCTACCACTTGGTCCAGTTCAGCACCGAACAACGGTGGTGGTGACAGACGAGATGGTGCTGGACGACGCCGGAACAGCTCATGCGGTTCAGTGTGACGAACTCTAACGTAGAGGGTCCCGCGTGGCTCCATCTGTAGATTTAAGGGACAAGAGCCCAAATATAAGATAAAGAATAAAGAGGTGATAAAAGAAATGTCAATTCTATCAAAGCTAAACGAACATACCCTGATTGCCAGTTGGTGTGATGGAGACCTAGCTAATAGATCTGGAAGAGTAACAGCACCTCGATAACATAGCTTGTGCCTGTGCTGTGGATCCCATGAGTACACTAGCACATCCAGCTGTCTATTATCCACTAGTTCCAGCTCGAATGATTCGTCCCAATCGAATTGCAGCTCTCCAGTACGGACCTAGTTTTTAAGAATTATTACAATTTTTAATTAGCCTTGAAAACTGCCTGAGTCAAGCTAGGACTGAATTCTTAGACATTTTTCTGAAACATTTACAAAGCAGTGTTTTGCCAAAAACTGTGGTGTACTTAAATCTATAGTATTTGATTAATTGATGTTAAAATATTGGCTACTAGCTGTGCCCGCGACTTCCTTCGTGTGGAATAGTGACTTGGGGTATAATTTTTAATTATTTAGGCTGTTTTTTAATTTATCTAATTGCGCATTTATCGCAGCTAATCTATGTTGTAAGTGCTACTTTGCCGCAACACTCACATCACTCCTACTCTAACTCCCACTCCCACTCTCACTCCCACCCCCACTCCCACTCCTATTCCCAAAAAGCCAAAGAAGAAAGTTTCATTGTTCTAGCTTCAAAAACCACGAATTTACATAAAAACTTTAACCCCCCCTTTTAATCCCTTACAACCCCTTTTTCGCAATAAAAAGTAGCCTATGTTCTTTCTCAGGGTCTAAACTATCTGTGTACCAAATTTCATTCAAATCCGTTCAGTAGTGGCGTGAAAGAGTAACAGACAGACAGACAGAGTTACTTTCGCATTTATAATATTAGTAAGGATTTATACCGTAGTAATTTTATTAAACATTTATTTTATAGTAGTTTTATTAAACATTTATTTTATAGTAGTTTTATTAAACATATTTATTTTATTAATCAAGCGGGATTGTTGTTGCTTAGGGCTACCCTTGTAAATCAATGTGATACTTGCCACGGTGCGAGCTTTGTGTACTCTATCGCATTCTAGGACACAGTACAAGTCCCTCGGTGCTACTGGTGGTTGTGGGGGTGCTAACGGTCCGGATGGTGGTGACCCCGGCGAAGACCCAGAAGGGACAGGTCTCAATCCCCTACCCGCAAGTAAGTGTACCCACAGCATTCCGGAGACGCCTCCAGAAATACGAGATAACCCAGTCATAGATGTTGATAGACCACCCGAGCCCGGCTTTTCGATCTTGTATTTTAGAAACTCTGGAAATTAATTAGATCTTTATAAACTACTACAATTACAGAATAAGGGATACAAATACAAGAAAAGAAACAAAAAAAAATCTGGACAAAGCAAGTTCAACACTTTTTTAATAAAGTAAAAGATTTGATGATGGGTTTGCTATCATGCTTAAATGTAGAAGATAGATTTATTTTCGAAAATTACCGTTGGGATTAATATCAAGGTGTCGCTGATGCCGTGATCCGGGCGTAGGCACAGGACTTGGATTAGGACAGTTGAATTTAGATCCTAATTCTAGCAGCTGCCTGACACGTCGAGCCGATGGTGATCCACTTGCTGTGGGGCCTATTAAAATTAAATGTTATATAAATACAGTTAAAATCAAAGGTCAAAGTTTTGACTTTCTAAATAATCACCTAATTGTTGTGAGGACAATGAACGAGCCGGCAAGTGCCGGGGCCTCTCCATGCGGCGACCAGCTAGTCCCAATGTTGATCCAAAACGACTGCCCGTTTCCATCTAAAACGATTATTTTATATATATCTAAGAATTAGTTACTCAACATAATAAAATAAATCTTAAAGCACTTTTTAACAGTTTAAAACACAAATTATATAATAGTTTAAAAAATATAACTGCGTTTAAAAATCGTTCAAAACTGTTGTATTTAAACAAGTAAAAATATCTTTGTGAATGTAACTTTAGTCGTATACTCGCATAAAGTACGCATACAACTTACATTTTTAAGTGCATCATGAATGTTCTCTGCAGAATAGTGAGTAGGAAGTCGCGGTCGAAGACTTTCGTAGAGGGCGCTAGTGGAGGGTGCCCGTGACAGCCATGCTCGGTACTCGTCCGATGTGAACACTGATGGTGAAGACGGTAAACGACCTTCAATAAGATCAATGTATTCAGTTGCAAAGGTAGACTTATAGCATGAAGTTACTTGTCATACACTATCCTTCAATTATACATTTAAACACCTTAATCCCACATACCTCTGGAAGAACGAAGATCTAAACGCGAAGACAAAGGTTCCGGTTCATCTTGAAGCACACTTCCAGCTCGTCGCGATAACCCTAATCTGAAAACCAAAGCGTCATTTACAACGAGACCAGACTTCTTAAGAATATCAAACAAATTTTCTCACCTTTGTCCCGTTCCTCTTACATCTCTTGGCAGCGAATTAAACTTTGAGCTGATGTCCCTCCCCAGAGTACTACTTCTGTACCCACTTAAACCAGAATAATATGGAGTGCGAGTCGGGGCTGTAGCTTCTGTATCCGATGAGTAATCTAAGCTTCGATTCCTTCTTGACGTGCCAAACTTGCTTCCATAGGAAGACATTCCCAAGCCCGTAGTGCCGTATCCACCAAGGGTTGAACTTAATCCGGACCCGGATAATCCAGTTCCAATTCCGCTACTCAATCCCGTGCCAACTAAACTGGATCCTGTTAGCCCACTAAGCCCCGTGGAAGATAGACCTGAAGGAAGACCAGGACCTAAACCGGCTCCTGAGAGTCCTGTACTTGAAAGTCCGGAGCTAGGAAGACCAGGCATGCCTACGCCACCGTACCGTTGACTGTATCTGGATAGACTGGAAGCTGTGAAAAGAGACAGTAACTTAGCATTATCTAAAGATGTCATCCACTCGTTTTGGCGAAACGTCGAGAACTCTTTCTTAGTTAACGCTAACGGCTCAAAATCCCCAAAAAACTTTGCGAATTCACCGAGAAATTGTTCAAAACTAAATGGTGTGAGAGATATACTTATAATATAGCTTAAAATAAATAGATAATACAATAACCTTTGAGAACCGCCTAGATATTATACTATGGATGCATATTGCCAATCCATCCATATTATGGTAATACAGAGTCTAATTTAGCAACATAAAGTTGACAAAGGTTTATAATGAAATTTAAATTTACCACCAGCTGCTCCAGTAGCTGCAGAGGCTTTCAAACTAGATCTAAGCAGTGAATGTCTGCCGAAGTCTGAATGAGTCTCTGCTCGAGGAAGCTGTTGTTCCGAGCCTGATCTAGGAACTCTTCCACCGAACCTGATGCTGATGAGAAAGAATTATTGTCGGTACTTATGTTGTCAGTAAATAAGTTAAAATGCATTATTATTTTAGGGGTGTAATTTCTAAATCTGAAAATTTTCAATCAATTTTATGAAATCTGTTTCTTTTACTTTTCCTTTATTAATTCTTTTCTGATTACATTTCAATATAGTTTTGCTGGCTCACCTTCCACCTTCCCCTGGATAGAAGGCATGCACCTTTTCTGCTAAACTCTCCAAAGTGTTAGGGTATGATCTCTCATATGGTACAAAATGAGTGGCAGTGGGTTTCGGCTGTTCTGTGATAACAGGTGGTGGTGGACGATAGCTGTTGAAGATAATTCTTTAATTAGACCTTTATTCAAATATGAATAATTCCAGAATCAAGAACTTTATTATGTATTTGGGATTGTTCTTGAAAATTAATGTTATGAGTTTAAAATAACATTTGGTTGGAGCTTTAATGACACTTTAATAACCATATTTTAAAATGTTTCTTCTAGAATATTAATGGTACGGCAAATCTCTTAGAGCATTATTTTTATTCATATAATTTGGTAGCTTATATTAAAAAAGTAGTAGATAGTTCTTCTAGCAATTTTGCATTATACAATTTAACATTAAAATAACATATTTTTAGTATTGTTAATTCAAGAGCGTACCTCCAAGTGGAATGATCTGATGGAGGTCTCGAATTGTAGTACAAGTCAAGTGGAGTGGAATCTGGTGACAGAGCACCGAGCTGCAAACGACTTCTCTCTTCACGTCCGTCACCCACTGGACGTACTCCTCCGCCGGCTCCCGTCGATCGAAGAGTTCCATGTCTTTAAGATTAATCATAATTACATTTTAATCACCATCTACGTGCAGTCGACGTTGAACAAAAACCCTTGGTCTGAGACTATATAAAGATGAAGTTTGTTTTTGCTTCAAAAACTAAATACAGTCCTAAACTTTTAGCTCATAAAGTAACACACTGCAACGTAGTGAATGGCATTTATTATATTATTATTAATTTAATTTACAGTTCCGACATTCTAAAATGATTAAAAAAAAGTATTAAGTAATTAAAATCTTGGCCAACCATTAAAGCAGAGATTCTTAAATGAATCTGACACTAACAATCCCTCTTTAATCAATGTAGTCCAGTAGATAATACCATAAACAAAGGAGGGACTAAAGCTGTATCGAATGTAGAGAAACTTGCAAGAAATTTCATATTTATCATTTTTCTAAATTAAAATTAAAGGAGATAGAGAAATGTTATACTAATATGGCGGCTAACCCCATGAGTCCCATTTGGTGGAATTTTGAATTTAGACTCCCTCTTCCCCCAAACATTGGAGCAAAAAGAATTCTAACTATTATTATTTCCACGTTGGAAACGTAGCTTTTCTTGGCATTGATGAAACTATACTATTCCCTTATTTTAAGTGAGTTGTTAGTCAGTTAACTTACTGGGAATATAGTCCATCCACTCTATCTCGATCTCTGTCGTCGTCATCACGGCAATCTCGCTTCAACACAACAACTGGAGGAGGTTTGTGTTCAGCGCGAGGAAGGGATGGAGATCCAGGGCCGGATTTACCTGGTAAAAAAGAAAAATGATAACTAGTGATACTAGTATGAAGCTTGTGTAAACTGCACACAGTCACTTTTAACAGTTTAAAATGTTAATTGTATTAGTTAAACTTATTTAAAATTTATTTTAATCACAACCCAATGATTCGGACTAATCCTCTCGTGACCAAGACTGCTGTAAAGCAATTTCACGTTTTAAACTGTTAAAACTATTTTTTATCTTAAAGTGTTTACAACGCAGAGTGCGTTGTAAACACTTTTAATGGTTTTAAAATGCATCATACAATGACAACGCTGGGTCTGAGGTAATAAAATAATTTATAAGTTAACTAACCTATTTCGCGTTTAAAAGTGTTTTATTGAAACTATACAATGGTATAATATGACTATGTTATTTTGAAAAGTACTGCCTGTAGTTCACACAAGTAGTGTACATTTGAACAAAACACTTTTAACAGTTCAAAACGCGACATATAATGGTGACGTTGGATGTTAGATTATAAAATACATTAGCTATACTATGTTACATTGAAAAGATCTTGTCAACAATTTATTCATATCGTTTATTTGAGTTCAGTTTATGTTAAGCAAAAATCTGTATTGAAATCTTGCTAAACCTTATTGTTTACATACATACTTCAACCTATATGCTAAGCAGTTAAAATGTATCTTAATTATAAAGTGTGTTAAAATTATATATCCCTTCTTTTTGTACCAAATGAGGATGCAATTTTCAACTCCGATATCGCACTATTTACAGTACATCCTCCATATTCCAGCACGCATGAATGAACAGATGCGAAATGCAAAATATAATAAGAAACGTCGCGATTGTAAATAGAGTCCTACTGATTTTATTTACGTACATATATTTGTAGAGAGACTCGCATATTTATTGTGTACAAAATTAAATATATTTAAGACTAGCTGTGCCAACGACTTTGTTTGCTAAGAATATTTATTTTGGTCATCCAAATTAGTTCTTTATAAAGTTAAGGTGTTACCCTTCGTCGGTCGCGTCCCTTCCCGTCGTTTTTACAAGTCAATCTTAGAAGATAGACATAAAGCGTCGCGAACATTTTTTTAGATCAATTAAAGAGAAATCATTCCTTGCTACATATTTTTTTTGAACCGTTTTCGCAGCGCACGCATTGAAAAGCACAGATGAAAATTTTCCCCCGTTTCACATTTACCGCTGTTACTTCGCTCCTATTAGTCACAGCGCGATATTTTGTAGTCTATACAGCCTTCCTCGATAAATGTTCTAGCTAACACAAAAATAATTTTACAATTCGAATTCGTAATTTATAATTTTTCTGCTGTGAAATGTTGGATTTCGTATGAATATCTGGATATTAAATGGATGGTAGGAATATTGAAATTCAATTCTTTAGAAAATATTAAGCTTCCGTTCATTACAAATTATGTTGATAATTTATTTTTCGTAAAAAAAAAGTACTAGTCTGAACAAAATCCATATTCTTACCGTTAAATGAAGTCAAATACTGTCTGTAGTTAACGGTACACATTTAAAAACATTTATTATGGTTTAAAAGACAATTTTAACTACGGCCGGACGTTTCGGGTGCTTGTATTAAGATTAACTTGCTACTACTATAAATTATAAAGATGAGGCTGATTATGAAAACAAATTTCTATGCCCAAAATATCTATTCTACGCTGACAAAGTCTCTGGCATAGCTAGCCGTCAATATATTATGAGTATATTTCGCGTTTAAGTTGTTATTAGTATTTAACAAAATATACGAATATTTAAAGAAGGCTTAAAACTCCTTACCTTTCCGCTGTCGAGTGCACAAGAGGAGACGTCTAGGTATCGACATGATGATCACAACATCATCCAAGGACATTCGTCTGACATCAACCAGATTGACAGCCAGGATCTCGTCTCCGACCTTGAGGCAGCCACTGTTATAGACAGCGGATTCTAACGCTATCCGAGATATGAACACCCCGTCCGTTCTAGCACCGCCGTCGCCTTCTCGAATGTATAAGCCCAGGGTCTGACCTGGACGCTTCACGATCTCTACTAGTTGGACTATGTGTCGCGAATCCTGGAAAGAATCAAACGATTTAGTAATAAGTTTAAAAAGAAGAAGTTTTTTAAGAAGAGTTTATATATGAAATTACAATGTACGGGTTCCTCATGTTCTTCTGTTTTTAATTACGTAATGATGGCACAACTTTTAGATAGGGTGTTCTCGTAGCAATATCGAAGTCAATAGCCAAAAACTAAATACAGTCATGACGACAAAACAAATGTAATATTTTTTAATTAATATAATGCAAAGAAATAAAAGGAAAAAACGATGATGACTTATAGGATGCGGTAGCCCAATTAGTTAGTGCAACAGCACGGATTGTAGTGTATGCCGGCCCAAAATTGTTTTTAATTAATGCATAATATGGCTAAGGTATATTCACCCATCACGTGACTCCATGTCTATCCCCCTTTGTCTTAACCAAAATTATGCCAGGCATTGTCTTTTGGTCAGATTGTCTATAAGTTCAAGGGCAATTGAGTACTATTTTGAATGATTTTTTTATTGGAATTATTTCGTTCATGCATTTGTTTTTCAATACACAAAATACATATCATATTTTGTATCGCTATTTTAAAATATGCCCACCTCGTCGGTAAACTAATAATAGCAACAATTTATTGCTTTATGTAACACTCGCTTATCAACTTTGCCATTCAACGAACACGAGCCTCGTGATTATAAATGAATGAAATATTCGGCCTGACCGCAGAATCAATCCCGCCATGACACAGTTTCGGCTGCGGCCTATGAGCGCGCATCCTAACAATGCTCGTCTAGATAGCATTCGCATTCCCCATTATCTAGGCCATCCCGAACAATAGATCTGTCTGGAGAGACCTCTTTTATCGAGACCAGTAACCAGGTTTAAGTATTCAGGTCAATAGAGCGAGTGAAATTACCTGTTTTTAGACTAAATTACAATATGTAAATATCGATGAATAAATTCCCTACTCAAAGCGCTTTTAAGCTAATAAATGGGGATATGAAAAGTTCATTTGCAAAAGAAAATTGAGGTGTTTCTGCGGGCCTCTTTGAGTTCCACGTTAAGTTCCGTTACGTTTAGATATTAATGCTAACGTAAGTATAGGTACCATAAAACTAAGATATTATTTTACACCATAAAAAATAAAATGAAAAAGACTTCATTCTCTTTAAAATTTTGAAAAAAAAAAATTAAATGTTGGTCTGATTGCCTGTTCGTCGAGAAAACCCAAGAAACTCAGTCCGGCTTTTTTTAACACGTCTTATAAACTAATACATGTTCGTGAATAATAACCTAACGAGCAATTTATATTACTGCCAGGCAGTGTTGTCATTAAAGAAATAGTTCAGGCAATAATACGCCTTTTGAAACAACATAAATTTCATAACTTTTTTAAATTTATTTGCTAATAAATTTGATTGACAAAGCCAAACATATTTTTCACATGTTTTTAAATGATGGCACTATAATAGAAATCAATTATAAATTGAAAAAAATTACGACTCCGTAGCTAATTGTTAGAGCAACAGCACGGATCGCTTTACATGCCGGTTCAAGTCCTGCCCGAGTTGTATTTTTTTTTTTCAATTTATAATCGATTTTAAATTAATAAAAAGCCATGTAAATCGCGTTTCGGTTTCAGTCTGAGGATTTTGAAATATGCAAAGCCAACATAGGTCGATAGCGCATCTTATTGAGATGGTATGTGTGGCAAGTGAACCCAAAGTTTTTTGTCCTCATTTATAATAAAAAAAAAACTTCTGCTTTCTTTTTTGGTCTAACTTTTAGTTTACTAAAGTAAAATCTTAAATATTTCCTTAAAATATTAATATTTGCATATTAATTATCACTTCACTTATATATTCATTTATATATACTGTTGGAAATCATCAGAAAAGCTCAACTACCCGCCACACTGAAGGCTATATAAACAAGCCTCAAGCAACGGCTCGTACACTTCTTTCGTTGCTCGTTGTACGGAACGGACGTGCTGCCCGGTCGATAGCATTTTGTTGAATTTAAATTTATTTAGTTGTGGTGTTATTTTGTTTTTATTTTAGTAAATCTGCTAATGATTTCTAAAATCAGAAGTGGGATAAAGATTTTCACGCCTTCGGATATTTACAATTTTTGCTTCTTATATCGAGATAGTTTTGACCGTTATGAGTAGTTCAAGTCTGTCCCGATCGAAAGGGAGACGTATACGCGTAGAACGCTCACGAAGTAGACATTCGCGAGGTCTAGGGGTATACTGTTACAACGTGCGTGTCCTCAGTCTTTAGAGACTATCGCCAGTCGCCACCGAGTCAGGTGAAAACCGTGAAGCCTTACGAGAAGTCGGAAAACAAAGGACGGCCGAACGGTTGACGCAAAATGATGTTGAACAGCACAGGCGGGTTAACGAGGATCGGCTTTCACTACGAACGTACGAGGAAGGTGACCTTGTGTTTGTTATCAAATACTCGCAGTCGCAAGGGAAACTCGACCCAGGTATGCGGGGACCTTACCGGATCACCCAGAGGTCAGCAAATAACCGTTACAAACTGCAAGTCCTTGCTGGATCATACGGCAAGACGACATGTGCTGCAGCGCAGTTCCTGGTGCCTTGGAAAGGTGAATTGATCCCGGATATGTGTTCGACATTCTTTGTGCACTTTTTGTGTGAGTTATGATTTTATTCTTAACACTTTACTGAAACTGAAAGTACCTATGATGTGTAACGATATGTTTAATGATAAATTCATGTGAGGCGTTTGTCTGCGAGGTCCTTGGGCCCGGGGAACCATGTCTTGGAGGTATATCGGAATGGTTATCCTAGGAGGGACCTCGAGAATAAAGTAACCATCCTGGAGGTAGATCGGACTGGTTACTTTAGTGAGACTCTCGGCCTAACTTGTTGGAATTTTAGATTCAGAATAACTTTGTCCTGGAGGTAGATCGGACTGGTTGTTTATGTTAATTGTTATTGTCGATCTGATTGCACGTTTCATTTTAATTGGAGGATCAGGATAACCTCGTCCTGGAGGTATATCGGAGAGGTTATCCTGGGCGGACGTTAACAGGGGATAATCGTTCTTGGAGGTATATCGGATACGATTGTCCCAGAGGTTAAATGTATTGGCTGGAATAACTAATTCTTTTGAAATGTTAGCTAACGGCACTTTTCCTTTTTTTTGTCATTTTTACAATATTCAATAATGTCAGTATGTGTAATTTTCCCTTGGTTGTTTCTTTGTTTTTCCTTTGCTGCAGATGCAGACAATGAAATGGAGGCTACTTCAGGTATCGTACCTGCTTGTTGATGTTCTACAAACTGTGGAGGCGTTCGAACTACAACGGGACCCCGTTGTAGTTCGAACACAGACACAGAGACACAGAGACACTCTGATTGCATAGCTTCCGCTTCCAATGAAGAAAATACACTGCCAATTCTTGACCCGGATCAGGAAAGTTAAATTAATGGAGTCCGAGGACGGACTCCTGTCAGGAGAGGCCGTGTTGGAAATCATCAGAAAAGCTCAACTACCCGCCACACTGAAGGCTATATAAACAAGCCTCAAGCAACGGCTCGTACACTTCTTTCGTTGCTCGTTGTACGGAACGGACGTGCTGCCCGGTCGATAGCATTTTGTTGAATTTAAATTTATTTAGTTGTGGTGTTATTTTGTTTTTATTTTAGTAAATCTGCTAATGATTTCTAAAAATACATATAGGAAGATTCATAGTGTATCTTTGTACTATTATAATTGCTTAAGTCATAAATACTTAATTTAAATTATTATTTTTTATATTATTTAATAAATAAAATTCCTACCAACTTACATTAAGTTCATATATAACTGACATAAGTTTCAGTTTCATAAAAAACTTCAATAAAAATAAACTGACAGGTGCGGTAGTCGAATACAGAACCACAGCCAGCTAAATTGGGTGGTACTTTTTTTTATTTTTTTTATATTTATACCTGTAATGAGAAAAACTTCTTGGCGGCTTCAATATTGTTCCGTCCCACTTGTCTCAACTCGAGGATCCGAACAATCATTTCTCCGCGGCGTTCGACCGCCTGCAACAACATACAGAGCAATTAGACACAAGCACGTACACTAACAAAAACTATATTTTGCTAGCAGTTTCATTAAAGTATATGAAAGCCTTTTTTAGCTGAAAACTAGATACGATTTAAACCAAACGTTTTCAACGGTTAAAATATATTAGCTGACTTATTTCTAACAACGACAGAAGCTTTCCCCACAGCTGCAAACCATCCAAAACTTCGGGGCGTAGTTACAAATAGCGTTTTTCGCGTTTTAAACAACTGAAAGTGTTTAAAACGTTAAATACGAAAATATAAAAGTCTTGTATAAATAATTTATAGATTTTTATATTTTCGTTATCAGTTATCGATTTTACAACGATACATGCATTAATTCTCGTAACGATAAATAAATCTTACAAACTAGTGAGATGTTTACGATTATATTCAATTGTTTATCTATAACGTAATAATAAAAAAACTTTGCACCAACGAAAAAAATACAAATGTATGAATTTTAAATTACTTATTTTAATTGAAAAGTTAGTGTTAAGGTGGCCTTTTCGTTTCAACGTTTGTATCAAAGAGAATCAAAGGAACAATAATATTTATGTGCTAACAGTGATTAGTCACTACTAATCACTGTTAGCACATAAATAAAACACTTTAACTGTTTAAAACGCAACAAATATTAGTTAATTTTACAGGGGACCGTCCCCCGTATTTACGGCAGCTGCAAAAAATCCATGACATTGGCCCGTAGTTAAAATACACTGTAAATAAGTCAAGTAATATATTTCAAGTTTTAAACCGTTAAAAATGTTTCATTGAAATGTGTGCATAAATAGACAATACTTAAAAGGTTGTTACACTTTTGATGTTTAGTGTAAATACATCTCGTGAAACTAGCGGAGCTTTGAGTAATAGTTAGACTGTAGTTACCTCGAGCGCCGCGGCAGTAGTAGCGTCGTGATCGTTTTCAACCATTTCAATCTGTCTGAATATTTCATTGCTCACACCTGATACCTGAAAGTAAATGCTTTATATGAGTCATTGAATTTATTAACGTATTTTCAAAATAGTTTATAACGAGCCTAATCCAATGACAGTGATTTTTATTTCAGCACGATTTACTAATTATTTTAGTTTTACTATATCTGTTTTTTTTTTCAATAAAGTTTTTATTATTATTTTTCTACAGTATTCTTAATTTGAAATTTCAAATTTAGAAAAAGAAGATTTCGATTAGATAGTTTGAAAATTACTGAAAAAAGAAATAACTTGTCTTTCCTTTTTCTGGGTCTATAAGTAACGTTAATCAACAGTATCTGTAATTAATTTGAGAAAATTTGACGTTGGTGTGTATAACACTGTTACTTGATTAAGTATCCTAGATTGTTAACGAGAGGTCCTGGGTTCGAGCCCAGGGAAACGAAGAATTGTTTCGGTCAGGCAGGGCACAGAAGTCTGATCAACTACTTGCCTGTTAAAGAACAGATCAGCGAAACGAACACAAAAATATGTTCCCCACGAGGGGCAAACGGTATTTCACTTTTGGGAATGACACTGATGTCCGGGACGGACAATTTTTTCCAATTCAACTCTAAATTACATACCTACATATACATATACATTGTGTTTAGATTGAGTTTGATTTATTAAGAAGGGCTTTAGGCAATAAAACACGTTCTGACCAATACTGTCCCACGCGGACGAAGTTGCGGGAGTATTGGTCTTAAATACGAGCCTTTTACCCACATCAATTTTTTTTTTATAATACCCATTATATTAATAAATGATTTACGTGTCTTTCAGGAGGCACTGGTGGATACATACCTTCCTAAAGTCTGGCTGCAGCACGCAAGGCGGCGCGTGGTTCGCGCGCGCCGGCTGCGGTAGCCCGGCCGGGGCTCGGCCGGGCGACGCTGTCAGGTCCGGCGCTGCTCGCCCATTCTCCTGAAACAAGTATTTAATCACATTAACATAGATAAATTAAAAATAATAATAATAATTTAGAGGAGGACAGACAAGCATGAGATTCACTTAATGGTAAATACCCTTTTTTTAAGGGGGGGGGGCCCCCCCCCCCCGGGCCCCCCCCTAATATACCCTAGATTTAACCAAACAATGCGCTGTCGATCTATTTTGGCTTCAAAAATCCACAGACTGAAACCGAAACGTGATTGACCTTTACGACTTTTCGAGTGACCCGGTCGATATTTCGGTATTCTTACTACCCATTTCATGTGCCGATTTCCAGACGAAGTTCAGCATGTTTCAAAAAAATATATAAATTAATTTTTAAAATGTTGGACCCGGTGGGGATCGAAATTAAAAACGAGATTATTAACCATATATTGTTACCATTGCATTACCCACCTTTTTGAAAAAAAAGAACTTTATTTTAGAGAGTTTACCCACTTTTTTAGCATCAACGTCTACATGAAAATACAAAAATGTTTTAACTATTTTCTCGAATTATTCAAATAAAAAATCATCATATATCAGCAACATTTCAGGAGCCGTGGTCACGGGGAGACGACAGTGTCGCAAAGCATCCCAAACGTTGGGTTGTAGTTGATATTACTTTTCAAACAAGTTTAACTAAAATATTCCGTTTTAAACCGTTGTAGTGTTTAATTTAAATGTGTACTACTCGCGTAAACTACAGACAATGGTAAAAATATTGTTAACATTACATTTATATTTGGGATCTTTAGAAAATCATACAACACTCACTCACAACGATGCTACAATTTCGTTGTACATAGCTGCGTCAACCACTTAACGATACTAGCGTTACTGTTTTAATTGCAATTTTAACTTCCACTTAATTCGGAGCAGGCGGTAAATAAGCTATTTAAGCATAAAACTCATTAGTCGGCTCTTAACATCCATTGCGCCTCTTTTGAAAGAAAAATTAGCTATTAAATTCGATTAAAAAATCGCGTTGCGTCATTGGTTATAGAGAATGATGTATTGCTTAATTAATTTAAGCCCGTTACACAGTATATTATCAAATTGTAAAGTAGCAGCTAGCCAAGTAGATCGCGGGTTCGATCTCCACCGAGTCATAGAACGCTAACTTAATATTAAAATTAAATATAGAAATTACATTGCGTGAGTGCTGCATGTAGCAATAGGTTGAAAACATTCGTTGATGACGTCTAGGATTCGATACTTTTACTGTGGTTGCCAGTTCAAGTCCTGCCCGAGTCGTAATTTTTTTCATATTATTATCGATTTTTAATTTACACATACATATGTTATATGCTACAACACGTATAAATTAAAAATCTGTTAGACTACAAAATCACTGCATGAATCATAATGGTCTTGGGTTTGAATCCCGCCCGTGGATTATTCAATAAGTTTTGAATTTATACAACAGTAATATTATTTCAGTACGATTTATACATGTAATTTTTTTGTGTTCCACTTAAGTACTCGCTACAAAATATCTAAAACAAATATAGGTCCACAGCATATCTTGTTGAGATGTTATGTAGCTGGGGTATTCGCCTTTTATCGAGTGAACACCGTGGTTGTCTACCCTCATCTGTCTTGAAAATATTCATACTTAGAGCTATAAAAATAGCGATAAAATAAAATTCAACGGCGTGTAATATATGCTTATAGTCTAAGAGTCAGTAACTTTAATCTCCTATATCAGGGTGAGACGGAATGCAATATACTGAGACGTTGATCGCATAAAGGGTTGCTTTGTAACGGTCGTAACCCGGAACTGGGTTAGTCGAGAGGTAAAACTTGAGTAACGGGCACAGCCAATATAGATTTATGGGCTCCGAACATTTTGTGTTGGTTAACTTCTCTTCGTCTTTGCGTATAGCGTAAGAGATACTACGAATACGAATCAACAATTCGTGATTTTGTAACTTAATTAAATAAGACACCTTTAACGGTTTAAAACGCGAAAAATATAAGTATATATATAAGTAAATAAAGACTATTGCCAGACTTTCGGAATGCTTTCTCCCTGCGTGGACTTGCCTGCTACATATTGCCGCTTTTCGCGTTTTAAACCGTTAAAAGTGTTTTATTAAAATGTGTACTACTTGTGTAAACTACGGACAAAACAAATACTTAATGAGTACTAATTGTAAACATTTTTTGGCAATTAAGTTAAATGTAGTGCAGCTTATAAGTAGGTACTTTTAATAAAGCTGTAATGGAAAAGCAAACAATCGAATCTAAACAATAAATACTTGCTAACTAAAAACATGGAAAAACCTCTTATATTGATTTATGTCCGGCGGGAATAAAACCCACTAACAAAATCCTACGTGCTTCTATTTGAGCTACAGTATTCTATATAATAGAAATATCTTTTATATAGTATAGATAAGTGAAAAATATAAAAAAAATCATATTAAATCTGAATCATACAATGCATCACTAAGTTTACAATTTAATATAACTTCACGGTTCACTTCGATGTTATATTTACCTTCAGTATGTAATTTCGCTCCTACGCAAATACAACATGCTGTTATGTTCAAGAAATAAGCCTAAACCATGCGGAAAATCGCTTTGACTAATATATTAACGATTTATAACGAATGTACGAATTACTACAGATGTTTGAGTACTGTCTGGTTTGTGCGAGTAGTACACAGTCAAATAAAACGCTTTTAACGGTTTAAACTAATTTTTTTCGTTAACTTATATACAAGTTATTTTAACTGCAGCAGTCGTGGTCACGGGGGACTATAGGCAAAACTTAACAATAATTTCATTAATATTATCAGCTTCTATCCTATAGATCTTAGTTGGTAATTGAAAATGAGAAGCTTTACCTACTAAGTGTTCGGAACAAGCAAAAAACTAACCCAGTCTTTATTTGTCTACCAGTTCAGACCGTAAGACTATTGTAGTTCCAATATTTAAAATCCTTTTATCTGTGTAACATTAAATTAAGATGCGCTGTTGACAAATTTAAGTTTAAATAAAACAATTTAACGGTTTAAAACGCGATATATTAGTTAAACTTATTTGGAAATGATTTTTAACTCGCCCGACGTTTGTTTTGAGAGCCGTGGTCACGGGGAGACACGGCTGCTGCAAAGCATCCGAAACGTCCAGCCATAGTTTAAAAAAATCTAAAAATGTTAACCAATATATATCGCGTTTTTGACCATTAAAGTGGTTTATTTAAACATTTTTAGACATCGAATCTAACATGTTTAAAAAAAAACAGAATAGCAACCTGGAACCAGTGGTAGTCAAATCCACGACTCGTTGATATCGTAACCTGCTACTCCTGGGCTAACAGCAACGTGTACGATCACTATCGTTTCAATTCAATCGAATAAAGCCTTCACTTCCGATTGTAGATATAAAAGTGGGTCAAAATATTTTAACATTCCGTTCAGTTCTGAGTGATGCCATGTTTTAAAGGAATGAGAAGGGAAATATGGGTAACCCATATTGAAACGGTCTTGATTACTCATTCAACCGCAAACACACTGCCCTATTTATGTATGAGCCACAGTAAGTCCTGTATATAGTTTGTAGTCTCATCCAAATATATATACTAGTGTTATACAGCTGAAGAGATTGTTTGTTTGAACGCGCTAATCTTAGGAACTACTTGTGCGAATTGAAAAGTTAATGTTGTGTTGGTTAGAGCATTTATCAAGACTAGGCTATATATAACATCAAGCTGCGACCAATAGGGGAAAAGAAACAAAGAAACTGTGAAATATCGTGAAATATTATTCAACTTTGATTTGGCATCCGTCGCATGCGCTGAAAACACGGTTTAATAAATCAAAAGATAGGTATAAAATAATGATTTCTCTTCTAATAAGCCAAAAAAGTATCCGTGATAGTATTTGGTAATTTTATATAAAATAGAGCATTGAGTTTGGAAGTAGCTGCTACAGAAAAACTAAGAGATAGACTTCAGTGTCACGGGGAGAAACATCGGGCAGTAGTTTAGCAAACAAAAATCGCAGAGAAACTTATATAGGAATGTTTCCACCAAATTCCTATATAAAACTGATCTCATAATTACAATCCTGAAAAACAAATGAATCCCCCGCATAAATTTTACAATAATTCTAATTAAACCAACCGGCTCACTTAATTTTTTTATAAGCTGTACAAATTACGGTTTAGTTACCATGAGAACGGTTAGAATTTGGCGGTCGATCGGAGTCTGGGAGAGGTGGGGGGTGGAGGAGTCCTACCCCCCGTGGTGGGCCCTGACCTACTTTCCGTCGCCGCCCTATCGTACGCATGAGGTCACTGTACTGCAGTTGCAAGCTTTCGAACACCGCAAAGGTGATTGTACGAAACGATCAAATCTATCTAGACGTTTAGTTGGCAATTTCCCACCCTTTGGCGGAAGAATTTTATCGAACCTAGAAAAGGAAAACCTATTTTCTGAAGAAGCCAAGCATTGGAATATCTAGTCCAATAGACAATATGTGTGACTAACATGTATATGTTTCCAAAAAACATGTTATTTCTTATAGACTCCGTTAGAAAAATGTGGACCGTAATTAATGGTAGGAATAGCGTAGCCTGCTCAAAATTTTGTGGAACGTCGTAAAGTAGATATACCTACGTTTTGGTTACAGTCTGAATGTCCAAAGCGAAAATAAGCCCATAGCGCATCATGTTTAGATGTTATATGCTGGGTCTCTTCCATAAAGTTTTGGATACGAGTATTTCTTTAAGTCAAGAGAGAGGTTATCCTGAAGAATCAACTTTTGTGCTTCTTTTAAATATTTATTTATTCTTTTATATTTATTTCGTCTTCTTTAAATGATTGTCCATATCAAAAGCTACAATAATCTAAGAATATGTTGTTCCATAAGAATCGAATCCATGACCTACTGACCTCCAACCTTTGATGAAATCTATGTATTGTACTGGAATTGGGGTAAATAAAATAGGACGGCTAAATTCTGAATATGAAAGGGAAATTACGAATTTAATGTGTATAATTGTTATGTTACAGACTATAGTCTGTTAGATTTTTAGTGTTGCAAAATTTAATACTTTTTTTTTCATTAAAAATAAAACCGTTTTGTGCAGTTTATATGTATTATGTTCTGTGTCAAATTTTCTGAAATTGTTTTTCAGCTAAGTCTTTAAACGCGCGTGTGTCTCATTTTTTTTTAACATGAAAGGAAAATCTTTTTTTATTGAACTCTATGAAAGCCAAGACAAAAAATGCCATGTGTTCTGCACTAGAAATATATGAGCAATCGAGGAGTTAACATCTCATCTCGCCGCCCGCAGTTGATGGCGAAACGTCGAGAACCTTTTCTCGCTCACATCAGCCGAAAGACAAATAAGCTTTTAATCGGTCGAAATTGCATTGTCATACCCCTACATTGTCCCAATTTCGGAACCACAACTTACTATGTGTATCACACATTTGAGAATAGCAAACGTTTAGAATTTCCTAGACAGAAATCTTTGTAAATAATATTAAATAGAGAGATCCTCGAAATAAATCATGTTTCAATCAGTCAAAACTTAAAGCCCCCATATTGTCAAAATTTCAGAAACCAAATGATTGTATATCACACATTTGTGAACAGCGGACGTTTAGAACTTTCCAGACAGACTACATATAGGGACGATTAAGTAGAGAAATCTTCTCTTTAATCATGTTTCAGTCAGTTGAAATTGAAAGCCTCCTTGTTATCCCGACTTCTGAACTATAAGTGACTATGTATATGTATGTATCTCAGAGAGATCTCTTATAGATACTTCTAAAGAGAGATTCTTCGAATCAAATCATGTTTCAAACAGTCAAAATTTAAATCCTCCACATTGACCCTATTTCAGAACCATAAATGACTGTACAACGTTTAGAACTTCCCAGACAGAACTAAGACTGTAAAAATAAGACGAACGAAGACTAAATATAAGTGTTGGGCGACTGTGGATCAATGCTCGCCGTACGCCTAATCGATACGAACGTACTACTGCCTCAATGAGATGCGCGCGCACATTCTTACGTAACGCGCAGAGTATCACCTGTTGCTCAATACTAGGGTATATACGGCCGAAGTGAAAAGCGTCACCCACTAGCTGCCGCGTTTATTCAATCCGCGTTTTGAATTCGGACGGGTTTTCGGTGTCAATGCACCGGGCAACCTTCGCTGCACTCAAGGGTGGGCAAGCTGACTTGATAATGATCTTCGTTATTGAACAATTGTAATAAGACCTAATGCTTCTTAGCCCTAAGTACGATTCTATGATATAGGAGGACATAAGCATAAGTTTCAGTTGACGGTAGGTGAAATATTCTAGTCTATAACATTTAAAGTCGTTGTCAATATATTTTGGCTTTGGATGTACGGAACTCCACAGGCTGAAATCAAAACGTCTGTAGACGGTGGTTCGTGACCCGGACAGAATTTCCATATTACCACCATTTAATATACAGATTTCCAGACGAAGTTCGGCATGTTTTATAAAAATTACAAATTGATTAGAAAAATATTGACCTCGGTGGGGATCGAACCCGTTGATTATTAGTCGTACATTGCTACCATTACACCAACGAGATTCAAAAGACACTAGCCGACCCGGTAAACGTTTTGTTTACAAAATTAATATGTTTGATACAACTCAAAAAAAATATAGTAATGCATTAATTACAATACAAGTACAATAAACTCTTTTGAATGTGTTTCTCACTTACAAGTCTGTGCTAGCAAGTTTAATAAACGTAAATGATAAACGTTAAAATACTACTGCACGTAATATCGCGTTACGTAACGCGATTACGACACATCACTATCGTTAGTTGCGTTTTATGAATAAAAGTGCTATTACGCATATCCACTAGCTTTAATTAAATACTTAATGAATTAATTAACTGTATTACGTTTATTTCTGTTTAAACTTTATGTCTAGTGTAGGCGGTTGTGAGAGAATATACATTGTATGATAATTTTCAAAGGTCAATTTTTCAACCCACAATGAAATGTCAATGAATTCTTTTGAAGTAAAAATGGATGAAGTAACTTGTACAAACAACACAAAACGGTCAAAAAACAAAAACCAATTTTATATAAATGAATAATATCTCTTTAAATGATGATTAAAGCCCACAACAATATATGTCCATGATATTATATGTATAATTATATTAAGGCTAGATTCAGTGGAATCAACATAATACATATTATTATAATGATATAAAAAGAATCCAACAAATATGTGTGAAGAATGCTCTGGTAAATAATTTAAAATATATATATATATTTTAGGTTAACTTGAAAAAAACATTGGTAACTCTACAGTTTATAATATAAGTATAGATACCTCGCCTTCAATAAATGAACAGACCCTAAGCTTACGTTTGAGGGTGAAGCCTAGTCAAAGCAAGTCTAGACGTTTGACAGCGATGCTATGCACCCTCTCGCTCTTTTCTCGTCTTTGTATTGATGCCAACTGACACTTTTACAAAAATTAATTGAGCATGAAGAGTGAAATCCCGATGTCTGCCCCTCAGTGGGGCATGGGGCAGATATTTTTGTGCCTGTTTCACTGACCCATTTTATTTACAGACAGTTAGTTGATCAGACTTCAAAATAAATGACTTCCAAGTTAGCAATGTATATAGATTTTTGACGGTTAAAATCTACACTAATATATAAAGCTAAAGAGATTGAACGCGCTAATATCAAGAACTACCGGTTCGAATAAAAAAATGTATAAAAAAATGTCGCGGTTACATCAATATCGAGTATCACTATTATTCGCGAACGAAGTCACTGACACAGCTAGTGCAAGATGTAATGTAGCTAAAATTAAGTTAATATATTTTATTGGTTTTATTAAAAGTTTTAAATACTTCAGGCGGAAAAAAAAAAAAAAAAAAAACCCCCCCAAAAAAAAAAAAAAAAAAAATCCCCCCCCCCCCCCCCCCCCCCCCCCCCCCCCCCAACCCCACCCAAGAAAAAAAAAAAAAAAAAAAAAAATTAATTTTTTCCCTAAATTTATATTTTTTTTTTTTTTTTTTTTTTTTTTTTAAAAAAAAAAAAAAACCCCCCCCTTTTTTAAAAAAAAAAAAAAAAAAAAACCCCCCCCTTTTTTTTTTTTTTTCTCCCCCCCCCCCCCCCCCCCCCCCAGAAGAAAGAAAGGTTTGTTTTCCCACCCAAAAAAAAAATTTTTTTTCAACAAAAAAAAAAATAAAATATTTTTACCAACCTTTTTTGGGGGCCCCCCCCCGGAAAGCCCCCCGAAAGAAAGGGTTTTTCCTAGTTACTTGACACTTTATGTCATATTTTGGATAGCTCACACAATATCTTTATTAATAATTTGTAGCACATAATATGTTATTCTGATGTATAAGCTATTCCAATTATAGGAAAGTTTTATTGAAATCCATTCAGTAGTTTTTGCCTGAAAGAGTAACAAACATCCATCCATACATACAAATTTTCACGTTTATAATATTAGTACGATATATAGATTTTATGTACAAGGTCTTTGCGTCTAGACAGGCGCCGTCGTTATGGCTTGTGGCATCCGAGAAAAATTACGTCACTGCTCTTATAATACCCCTAAGACACGCTATAGCTGTACCATAGACATGTTGACCTCAATTCTGGGATATGGCTACCGGATGTACTTATGTTTAAATTCAACCGTCACTCTCGAACTAAATGATATATCTAATATATAAAATTCACGTGTTGTGCATGTAAATTTTCAAGCGACCTGAAAAATTTTTTTCTGCTTTATAATAATAAAAAAATAATAATTTAATATAATTTATTCATGAAATGCACTTGTCAATATAGCAAAAAGATAAAAATCTATTGTCAGACCTAACAAATGTATATACAAAATTTCAACAAAATCGGTGCAGCTGTTTAGGAGAAATTAAACAATATTCTGAGATAGTTTTCAATTAGAAATAGTGTGAATTTAGAATTTATAAAAATAACAACTTAATATAATTTTTTATTATCAATATAAAATAATGTATTGTGTGGGAAAAATCTAGTATGAGTGGTAATTCCTTAGTCATTAATAATTTATCCTTTAATTTTTAAAGTATGGTTTAATATTTTTATCATAGATGATGAGAAAAGGGCATGGTGGTTTCATGGTAAATGTATAACAGCCAAATAAGGCGCGCTGACGATAGATCTTGGCTTTAGATATTTAAATATGTACGGAAATCTTCCTATGCATTTTATATCGTAAATCAACTATTACGGCACTATATTTTTAAATCATTCAACACGTTGCAATCGAGTTGTTTTAGTCCGGAAAACGCAACGACACATTCAGTTGAACAACCTATAATCCGATCTGAGACATTAAAGTGTCGGCGTTGATACTGGAAAATCGCTTAACCCCTAGTAGTGCTCTCACATATAACGAATAAAATGGTACTAATATCCTCCAGGGAGTTAAGTTCACAGCAAAATTC